AAAAAACATACTCTGTTATCCTCCCCACAATGCTAACAGTGAGCCTCTGGATTAGCCCTTAGCGAAAAATGCTAACATATTATGCACCGGAAATCCCTCCTAGCTCCCTTATTACTTATCCCAGCTGCACATCCAACACATCGTTTATGATCGTGATCGATTATTTCTGAAACAGTATGGAGCTCAAATGCTTTTTCTCTTGCGGGTTTATCACAAGGCGAGTTCCTTTTTATTTCCTGCTTTTTAAACACATGTGCTCTCCAGTACAGGTTAGCTCTGAGTGTTAGCGAGGCTTGCTAATGTAAACAATGACGAGATTACGTCCAAAACACGTCCGGCATTGTTTCTGATAGCAACTTTCTGTGGGTCCGCCGCCGTTTTGACGTCATATCGGCAGCAAATCTGTATCCGCTCGTTGTAGCCCCGTTTTTACGAAAAGAGAAAGCGTTTTATAATCTGACGCTGCGTGAGTTCCCCAACGCACCGGGGAGCATACTTGCCAACCCTCCCGATTTTCGCGGGAGACTCCCGATCTCATTGCCCTCTCCCGGTTTCCTCCCGGGGTCATATTTCTCCCGCATTTCTCCCGATTTCTGACAAAATCTGATTTACTCAGGACTGCTTTCACTCAGACTTTAATAAAGCTACACCATTGTTTGGTTTCCATGGTAACACGTCTCTTTAGTAGCGCGCGCAACTGAAAGTCTGAGAGGGTGAGGAAGATATATCACAGAAAACAGAACAATAATCGACTACTCTACTCTCTGCTCACTACTTTCCTGTGAAATACAGGTCCAGCCCACACATATGCTCCATCCAGGATGGACATCAAAAAGTGCATTTTGCATGATCATTCTCGTATTACTTTTTTTTCAGGTCATCCCCGTTTCTTCAACCAGCTGTCTTCAGGTCTGGATGTGATTGGTGTAGCAGGAGAGTGGCTAACCTCGGTAGCCAACACCAACATGTAAGATCTCAACAATAAAAGTTTACTCAAGGACTCTACCTTACGCACTTGTTTTTTTACTTGTTTACTTCTTCTTATCAAATTCAAGTATTTATACTTATTGGATGTATTATGTCAACAGATTTCACAAAGCTGTATTAGGTTAGTCGAAAACAATAATATTAAGTTGAACCTAATATTTTAGTTTGAACTTAATATTATTGCTTTCAACTAACCTAATACAGTTTTGTGAAATCTGTTGAAATACAGTAATACACTTAATTAAAGTCAATGGTTCAGTTTTTTCAGTGTACAGCTTATGAAATAAAATCTAAATTCTTAGAGTCTAGTTGGGTTCTCATAGCATGGTGCAGGATTTCTAAAACCTAAAAAAACCCATTTAAAATCAAAATGTTGGATTTCTTTTTGATATTTCCTCCAGACTGTCATTGTTAGAGCAAAGCTTTTAATGAAAAAGAAAGAGCCACGTGTAAGTCAGTGTCTCATGTGACTGCAGGCCATTAAACACGAGTCCTGAAACCCAGAAATTAGTTAGCATTTTGATATTTTTCGGTAGAGGTAAACATTTTTGTGGTTAACAACCGCTGAAAAGATGTTCACGTTTATTTCTACAACATAAAATATGTCAGTAAACACCCCACTGGCTAATGTCTGAAGCTTGAATTTGTGACTCAATGCTCTAAACGTCATTACGCCGAACGTTAGCCACCTTTAGTTTAGCGGTGGTGATGTACAGACATGTGACCGTGATGAGGTTCCTTTACAGAAACAAACGTTTGCAAGAACCGAGTTATAAAATGAGTCTTTTGTCTTTACAGTATAATAATACAACTCAATGTTTTTCTTTTCCAGGTTCACATATGAGGTGTCTCCTGTTTTCATCCTCATGGAGGAGTTTCTGCTGAAGAAGATGCAAAGCATTGTGGGATGGTCTGCGGATGTGGGGGATGGAATCTTCTGTCCAGGTAATGGATGCAGGAATGAATGGATGGATTGGAACTTATTTTGAGAAACATTTGAAAGATTTAGGTGTGATGCTGAACATATCAAGAAACAAAAAGTTTAAGGTATGATGTCACATTTATTTTGCTTCAGAAGTCAGGAGCAAAGGGTAGTCAGTATGTCACCCGTAAAGCAGGTTATAGAAAGTTACTTTTTAAATGAAATTATGATTTATTTACTTTTACAAACAGTTAAGCAATCGGGCAGATGTCAGATATTTACTGCAGGACAAGGCGCTTTCACACCAGAGCACTTTTCCCAGGAATAGTTCCGATAGTTCTTGGGATTTTGGTTTCACACCAAAAAGATCTGGAACTAGAACCTAGTTTGCGCAAACCTTTTCACCCCTTTTCAGTCCCTGCTAGAGAGCAGGGGCTTTCCCGGGGAGAAAAAGGTTCCAATTTCTGATTGGCTGGGCGAATTGCAAACCATGCCCCGTAAAACTCAGAAAGGTTTTGTGAAGCCGCCATTTTATTTGCTCGCATTAGCATTATTAGCATCAGCATTAGCACAAACGGAGAGAGACTAACTTATGGAAACACAAAAAAATATGGGAGCGGTGGGGATGAGGAGGTGTCGGCGCTTCTGGCGATTAACTCGGAAGACGCTAACCAGCAGCTTCTACTGAAGCTAGTCCCCAACTCCGGGGACTTCGGGTGGCAGTATACGCCGTGAAGTTGTTTGCGGACTGCCAGTAAACCCAGAAGAAGAAGAAGTGACGTCAGCGGCTTCATTTGCGTAATCCTCCCTCAGGGACTTATTCCGGTGTGAACGCGATTTACTAGGACAGTTCCAGGGACTAAAGAGTTCGGCGGGACTAAGTACTGGGAACTAAGTACGGCAAAGAACTTGGTGTGAAAGCGGCTAATGTGTTTTCCCGCCTTTTGTGATTATTTGCCCTGCCCTGATTTATTCCACCTGTGTGTGATCACCACCAGTACTCTCTTGTAGCTGTGTCTTGTCAATGTGATTCGTTTCTGAATGTATACTAGCCTGTTTTACACAGTGTCCTCTGTTTGCTTGAATAGGTTTCCCCTTGACGTTCTCATGTGGTTCTGCTGTCCATGTTTCCATCTATGTTTCCTTTCTGGATGTATCCTCGTGTTCCCTGTGGATTTGCTGACAATTTTTTCCATCCAAGTTCCTCATTTGTGTTTGCTGCTATTGTTTTTTATTACCCTTGCGGGCAGGGAAGATAGTGGCCGACCCCCCCCCCACCCTGGACACACCCCCTGTGTTTCATCAGGACCAAAACCTCTCGCTACCTGAACAGTTTCTTCCCCTCTGCTACCGGCCTCATCAACAAGCCCCCCCCCCTACTAACACTTTACCTCAGCCACATCATAGACTCTATGCATTACATTAATGCACACAATATCTGTTTTCTTTTTTTTTTTTATTACTGCCGATTTCTATTCCATATTTTGTTCCTTTTTATTCCATTTATATGTAAATACTGTTATTTTTTTACTTTATTTCTTGTTATTTTTTTATATTTTTCTAGTTCTCTGTCTGTGTTTTTAATTTGTGTTTTACTTTTACGTATGCACCACGACATCAAGTCAAATTCCTCGTACGTGTCAACCTACCTGGTAATAAACATGTTTCTGATTACAAAGCTTGCCTTTCGTTAGTTATGTCGACGACTGTGGCTCTGATGTAGCGGAGGCGTGTGGTGCAGTTCGTTGTGCGTTGGTGTTCGGATCAGGGGAGCACAGGTTCAAACCCCACTGCAGTCAGCATGTCGTTCTTCACCCCAAATTGCTCCTATGGGGATTGTCCACAGTATTGAGTATGGAAGTCGCTTTGAATAAAAGCGTCTAACAAGTGACATGTAATGTAGTGTGGTCGTCTGACAATCGGATATCGAAGTATCCTTTTGGCAAGATGAGTGAANGTTCTGGCGATTTACCCGGGACTTCGGGTGGCAGTATACGCCGTGAAGTTGTTTGCGGCCTGCCAGTAAACCCGAAGAAGAAGAAGAAGAAGTGACGTCAGCGGCTTCATTTGCGTAATCCTCCCTCAGGGACTTATTCCGGTGTGAACGCGATTTACTAGGACAGTTCCAGGGACTAAAGAGTTCGGCGGGACTAAGTACCGGGAACTAAGTACTTGGTGTGAAAGCGGCTATAGACTGTATATGGTTGGACACTGTAACAGTAGAGGAGTCTGGGGGAATTGCACCAACTTTTAAATAACTTTGTTTAATAACAGCAACAAAATTAAACAGTATGAACTGATTTGTAAATATAAATACAAATCTAACTAAAGGTTTTCATGAATACCTACTTTTATTGTGAAATTGACATGTGACGTATTTTTACCCTTTAACCGAAATCAAGAACCGATAAGAACAGAAATCGATAAGCAGAACAGAAATTGGAACCGGTATCGTTAAAATCCAAACGATCCCCAACCCTACACATTAAGCATTATTCTCAGCTTGAGGTGTCCAAAAGGCACTTTCTAAATCGTATGATTGTATTGGGATACAACAGACTTCTTTATAAATAATGGTTTTAGTAAAAGCGTCACAAATAAAACTGAATTGTACCTTAGAGAGCTGTCTTTACCTACTAAGTCATTGTATCCACATTACTGATGATTATAACATCTCACTATGTTCATTTTTTAGGGTAACGGTTAGAATATAAAAGCATAGCCAATCATCACAATGTCAATATTGAGATATTTGGTTGTGTCTTCAGAAGTCCAGGAAAAGTTTACTTTATTTCAATAACAGAAGTTTATACATTAACACATTTACCATTATTCTCAGCATATAAAGGCATTTTTCATTACATGCATTAAAATATGTGTCCTGCCTATACAGTGCAACAAAAAAATACAGACTCAGGTTTTGAGTGTGGTTGCTTTTTAAACTGTGCATTGTGTTTCCTGAAGGAGGAACAATATCCAACCTGTACAGCATCCTGGTGGCCAGATACCACTTCTACCCCGAGGTGAAGACCAAAGGCATGGGAGCCCTGCCCCGGCTGGCCCTCTTCACCTCAGAACATGTAAACAAACCACACACACTCACTGTCACACACACTCACTGTCACACTCTGAAGGACGGGGTTGTTTGAGTTCAGGAGTTATTGTCTGAGCCAGATTATAAATCAGTTTGAGGTTTCACAGGGTCACACAGAAAATAACTTTCAAATGAAAACAGTTTTCTTTTAAACAACGAGAGAACACAAGCCTATGTTTATCTCCGGAGTGTCAGTCTCCAACTTCACTCGTGCCTTCCCTTCGTCGATGTTATATACTTTATAATCTTGAAGTGTAACCAGAGGGGGTACTCTTACTCCAGTAAAAGTAGCAATACTAGAATGTAAAAGTCTACTACCAAATGTAAAATTTTAAATATTTTATTATAATTATTAATGCATTAATGTGTTCATCATTTCAATGTTTCACTTTGTACAAGAGGGGATTATTTGAATTACTTTATATACAATACTAACCTATAATAATAAATTACAATGAATTATCTGATTTATATTTTTTAAGTAACTAAATATTTCCATACAAAATGTAGTGGAGTAGCCCAATGTGAAAATACTCAAGTAAAGTACAAGTACCTCAACTTTTGACTTAAGTACTGTACTTGAGTAAATGTATTTAGTTACATTACACCACTGGATTTAACTAAATATGGTCGCTGTGACTGAGCATGTCTGCACGAGCCGACAAGGTGGATGCATGTGATGCGTTCAGGTCCTCAGGATTTCTCACTCTTCAGCGTCAGATAGCCCCTACACTGTATACAGCATCCCTACAGTGTCCTGAATCTGACCCTACGTACACATCCTAGCTTTAGCCAGGGCAGGGACATCTGCACATCTTAAAATGACACTTAGTTTTTTACTGAATACATTTGATAATACACCATTATTTTATAAAACACAGCACTTCTTCCATAGTGGATTGTAAAGCTGTGAACAAATGCAACGTCCGTCTGACCCACCGTGGAGCGATGAGATATGAACTAAGGTTTCTTTTATGTTTGAGAATGTTNTTCTTTATATCTATCTGGGTCCTAGACTCGAAATATCAACAACTATTGTTGGGAATTCATTCCAAATCCAAATACAATGTTTTCGTTTATATGAAGCACATTGGGATATAGAGAGGCAATCATGTGGTTTGGCTGATGTGTTGCAGTTGCATGGTCTGGCATGCCACTACACGGAGTCAGTAAAGACCCGTATTTCACTGAATGGAAAACCATTAACAAGAGCCCTGTAAAGGAAATGTCTGATTGGTTGGGTTAACGCGGTGTATGTTCACACATTCTTATTGCATCCCATGTTTTGGTGTATGTAAGAAGTTCGCGATGTGAGAGGTCGACAATTTGAATTGTGTAAACTGTCGTTGTTACTCTTAAGTTTATAACCATCGGTCTGAAGTGGTACACACTAAAACAGATTATCTATCATAGCTTTGTTGTTTGCACCTGTTATGTCTAACCTTCTTCTTTTGTTCTGTTACTCATCCGATGTGTTTCCTTTTTGTCTGGCTTTCTGTTCGTGTAGTTTGTTTGAGTTTATAAATACAACCATTTGAACAAGGAATGGTGGAGCTGCAGAGATATCACTACCTTGCAAATCATAGCGAGCGGACTTAACAGACAATACGCAGTATTGTTTGTGTAATTCTGCATCGAATATATTACATCAACAAGGATTGAGAAGCTGAGGAGCCTGAGGTCTGGGCTCCGGGAACGACATCACGTTACCGGAGGAAAACGTAAAGAAAAGTACACCAACTCAGAAATCAGAATATAACGCCAAGTAGGCCTATTTAATGTGGAAAGGATAATAGAAGCACACGATACATTGATTACTTATTTAAGGACGAAATAACATGCAGGCAAAATACGTGGCAAGAGTACAAAACAGAATATAGACAGAAGAAAGGGTGACTCGAGAATGAAAAATAAATGTTGTATATGATGAAAGAGATATAAACATATCGATTTATTAAGTGGATGTAACCATGTAAGCGAGAATAGTAAACCCCAAGGTCATTTTTTCCCCAAACTGTATTCATCATGCATTCAGTGTGTAGCTGTGGTGACACTTGTGTTACGATAGATTACAAAGCATGTTCGTATCTCTCGCCCTCACGTCTCCTGCGTCTTGGCGCCATGTGTCGCACTGGAACACACCGCAAAGACTTCAGTGCCGACGCCCATAACCGGCGCACGTACCTGGCAGCTAAGCGACGTGAGTGGACGAATGGAACTCATCCTTACACAGTCAGACGCGGCGGATAGTGTTAGGTGCGTCATCAAAGAGGCAACGAACCGGACAGAAGCATAGGCGTGATACAAGAAGAAGAAGAACAGAGTGCGCTGATAGTAAACAACAACAAATAGCGTGACGTCTCCAGATTTTATCAACTCTACACGGAGAAGCTCATGGGCGAATTTCACCGACCTGTTGATGAAGCTAGGAGTTCAATAAGAAATCTCTGATTTGCTCTTCTTAATGAGTTTGTTTGGGTTCCTCACTTCCGTTTCGCATTCTCATGCACTGATTCGCGTAAGCTGAACAGCAATCAGGAGTGATTTCTCTGAGCACAGACAGAGACATCGCCAAGAATAAATACAACACTGTCAAATCGGACGGCCGAAGGTGTCGGCACGCCGAACAAACACGACGTGCAGTACTCCCATGTCTGTACGGAACGCCCTAGACAGAAAAAAAAAACAGAGAGAAAAAAAAAGCGATAACGGGTTAAGTATCTCTTGCGCACGAGATACTAACTCGTGCGCAACGAGATACTAACCCGTGAATCCTGACTTTTTTTTGCGGGAGAAAGTTCCGTCCGCCAAGAGAGGAAAGTGAAGCCCACAGGACAGCAACCATTTCACTCCCGTGCACGACTGTTATGTTTACGTGGGAACATGACAAGTGCACTCATGAGAGATACATATGTTCGTACTCAGATCTTCACTTTAAGGGAGCATTCCGTCCAGTAGACAGAAAGGTGTATGGTCACTCCAGGAGGCAGCGGGACCGAATAGTAACTCAGAAAGAGCAGCAAGGCTCAAGAGCTTTTACGACACAGACACATTATATCACCAGTGTTACTAATTGAGACAGCTATAAAGAGTCGAACCAACAGGCTGTTACGTTTACCAACACACACCTCTACACACAACCCCCGCGAGCGCGCGCGAAGCTGCCCCGATTAACTCCCTTTTTATTAGTTTTATGGAGGAGATCGACCGGTGCATCAGGACGCAGTGATGCCCGCCCGGCAAAATCAGCCCCGGGAAATGCTCACCGACCCAACACGACGTAAACTGTCGAACGGGGGGGGCGAGCAGTCCGAGACACGTGGCTCGTCGTGTGCTGTGTTTGAGTGGTTTGTCCCACAAAAAAGCTGCGGGGCAGAAGCAGGTACTCTGCGCGAAGTCACGGCCCTCAATCCACAGGACAACAGAACTGAGTATTTATACACACTACTGTTTTGCCAATCCGGATGTATAAAAAATACACGTAACTCTCACCGCCAAACAGCTCATAATTAAGTCTGACATAACAAAATAACACAATCTCATATGATAGAATACATCAGACATACCCACGTAAACATACACTATCCACTTTCCATGATCAGAAACGATTTCGTTCTACAAAGCGCAACGAGAACATCCGAATAAGAATTTATTTATTTTTCTCTTCCCATCTAACATGTTAAATCGGGCGCGAAGGTATCGGCACGGCCGAAAAAAACTACGGACGCTGTTGGCAATACACACCAATCTGAGTAGGACGACACAGACGCTCATCGACGGCTGACATCAATCAGACAGTCATCGACGCCGACAATCGCTGGTTTAACAAGATTTACATGTAGCAAGTAAGCCATTTGCACGCTGCAAGCTGGAAGAGGTTAAATAATTTAATTGCTACATTTTCACTTCCATATCAGTAAACACTGAAAACGGGTCCCACAGACCCAAACAGCACACAAAGGGTTAAAGGTAAGCATAATATATGTAAAAATGTGCTGAATAATATATACACAAGCAAAAAAAAAAGAAAAGAGGAGGAAAAGAGCTCACAACTTAATTTTTTGAAAGTAAGCTCTCATCCAAAAAAAGGTTGGAGACCCCTGCATTAGAGCGTAACAACTGTACTATAAGTTTTGAAATAAATATGTGTACTGTTCTGGCAGGTAAGTTCTCCACATTCACCAGACCTGATTCATTTTGTAATATTCAGCAACCCATGAAATAGTACAAAATGTCACTCTTCAAGGAGGAACCTCTATGGTGTCAGACGTGGATGACACTGACAAAGTATCTACTAGTGAGACGTATCACTGTATTCACAATGGCGACTGCTCATTAGGGGCAGGTGGGGCACAGCAAAAGTATTACAAATAATGATTACAACAAAATGCAAAAAATAAATAAAAATATATATTGTGGTGCCGAGAGATGGGAGTCAAAGGCGGGGTATCAAACGTACAAGCTAGACTTTTATTAAGCATCTGCAAACACATGTAAACACTCCAAGCCCGGGAAGCGAATACCGGCGGAAACAGGAAGTCCGGCTCATTCAAATGTCCGTGCAGAACAATACCCCAACCCATAGATCCGCGGGTGAATCATGTTAATCACCACAATATAAAATATATGTTAAGATCATGTTTAATCATCTGATTCGTCTGTACATTGCTGTTTTAGTCTGTGTTCTTCTAATTAGTGTCTACAGTGTGTGCCTATTGAGCTGTTTTGAGCCATGTGGGACAAAACCCGATCATCCCCTCCCTCTCACTGTCTAACTGAACGGTGACTGTAAAAACTACACTGCGCATGCTCAAAGAATTTTTAATGTGTGTGGCAAAAAAATAATGACCATAGGAGCACTGAGCTGCTATCCCCACATACGTCATCTCACATAATTCAGAGCTGATTGTCTGTAAGTACGTGTGCCGCAAAAAGTGTGGTGTGTGAAGAGCAGACGAGAGAGCTGCAGTGACGCGTCCTAAAACCCGGAAGTAAGCTGCGCATGGGTTCCATGGCTTCCCTCCACAAAAAAGCGATGAGATTTCTCCATAGGATTTTAGAAAAATAGCTCCAAATAAGATCTGTGGGAAACGTACCTGTTAGATAAATGCACGTTTTGTTCAGCCGGATAATATCCACATGTCTACCCTACTTTTATAGTTTTCGAATCATAAATCTATCGATTAGATTTATGATAGACTTTTGAAACTACAAGAAGATAAGGAGGACTTTTACAAAAAAGTAATAGAGATTTTTGTCCAGAAGGATAGCCAAATGGACTTCATCTTCAAGTCAAGGTAAGACCGCAATTTTATTGAAAATGGGATTTTACCAAGAGAGAACAAATTCAATATTTAAATGATAAAATTACATTTCTTGGGTATCCTTTTGTTGAATGATAAAATTACTTTTTTTGGGCATTAAAATTAATCGAAGCATCAGACAAAAAAAGCTTTTGAAAATAATATTATATTTTGATTTAGGTCCAAATATAATATTTGTAAACCTGAAGAGTCAGTGCCAGTGCCTCACCAGCCATGAACCTCACTGCAGAAGCTTATATATAGACTAAGTTGTTTGTGCCACACCACTTTTTTACATATAAAAACGCCACTGCGCATTTGTTTAAAAAAGGTAGCGACAAAAGCAGGCAATACCACACATTTTAAACTACACCTAAAACACAACCACCCCATTCCGTTTTCCCAGCTGGGAGCAAACACGGCAGCTGGAGATGGAGAGCCCCCACCTTCCCGACAGTTTACAATCAAAGATGCATTTGCCCGACAATGCAAATATGTTGGTGTTCCTTGCTCGAAAACTTTGAAAAACAGATTTGGATATGGCCTGTTGAGGCATCTGGGTCTTTGTATGGACAGTGGACTGTACACTTGAGTGTTGTTTTAAGGAGGGTTCTTTGCTTGTGAGACAATGTGTGCTCATATTATTTATAGATAGATAGATGGATAGAGCGAGAGATCTGTTTTCCAGCCCGAGTCTATTTAATTTATTGTTTTGGTTGTGTGATTTAATTTATTTATTATCATTTAATTAATTTGTTTTATTTATTATATATCATTTATATATTTTAATATTATTTCATTTGCAATGTTGAATGTTCAATATAAAGTTATGTTTGAAAGTACTTTAACTATTATTATATATTATCATTATGTCAGTGGTCTAAAATGGTCTTACAACAGTGCCGACAATATTATCGTTTATCGCAATAATTTCCAGGAAAATGTATCGTCCAACAAAATTAATTATCGTGACAGGTCTGTTGGCACCAAAGAGTTCAAAACACAAGGCACAAAATGAACTTAAGTGGATGATAACATACAAAGTATGGAATTAATGTGTAGTCCAAAATAGGACATAACTTTTCTCTCAATGTCAGTAAGCCATAAAAATTAACAAACAAACAATGTGAGGTTCGTTTTTTGCTGATATTTGGACATTTCTTTCATTAAGGAAGCAGTTGAGAACATTTGAGAAAGATTAATGACGGTTTAAAGCAGTCAATAAAATATATATTTTATCCAAATTGTGAATCACTGCAACCAGGACAAGTCCTTGAGCATACTGTCAAAAATGGCCACAAAAATATATAAGACTGTTGCATGAGAGATTAACGGCGGACAGAGAGAGATCAACACACACTTCACCAAACTTTCCCCTGGCCGAGATAATAAAACAGTTGGATCATTCAATATCTGACATTTTTAAGGCGGGCCAAGATGCTAAAAAATGTGCATTTAATGACCCGCCATACAAACTGCACTTGACTTTATCACATGATTGTAACTTCATGCAAGTCAATGGTGTTCCCTTTGTTCTGTTGGCATGCGAGGCAGCAGCTATGCCAGAAAATTCATTTAATTTGGACACAGATTAAGGGTTGGAACCTGTATTTAAATGAGTTTACTCTTGAGGTACTTCGGGGATAATTTACAGCTGCTTCAGCATTTTGAACGCAAGTGAGCCAAATAATTGAAGTTGGACCATATTGACTACCTGGGTGGAAAGGAGCAAATCCTAGAAGCTGATTGTTTGATTTCTTGAGAAGACGGAGGACACATATTCTTATTTTTGTGAACAGTAGAAGGATATAGAACAGAACTCCATGCTGCAATAATGAAATGGAATAATGAAACACTTCGCCACTTGAACGAGAGGATAAACAAGTGTGTGAGTTAAAGATGCTACTCTGAACGGTCTGAACCTCACGTGCCTGTGGTTAACCCTCCCTCCTTCACAATCTCCCTCCTTGACTCCTACTTTTGTTTCTAACTGCTATACAGTAGACTGTGCTTTTGGCTCGACGGTAAACAAAACAATTTCTGTCTGTCTTCCTGCAGAGAGCGAACAGGCAGCTCCATGAGGGGACCAACTGCATCACACGCTGCAACAGGAGCTGCTGCACCCTTATAAAGTGTGTGTGTGTGCGTGCGTGTGCGTGTTTGTGTGCCATCCGTGTCCGAGTGTGAGTCGAAACTAGGTGACGTCATCTTTGTTTATGTGCATGAGGCGGGACGGCGAGGGAGAGAGAGCAGTGGGGACTGGGGAAGTGTGTGTGTTTGTGTGAGTGTGAGTGTGAGTGTGAGTGTGTGTGTGTGTGTGTGTGTGTGTTTGGGGGGGAGGAAGTGGAGAGTTGCTGCCAACTCCTCACGCGATCTAGACTACAGGGGAGGGAGGGGGGAGGGAGTTAAAGACATAACAATACAAGGAAACAGACAGACAGCAGTGTAAAAACATACTGTGATTTCATCTGGGAGTATCGTTTGGATGTGAAATGTGTTTGTGTTGTTTTCAGGTGTTTAGGGCATACTTCAATTCATATAGAGTTATAAAGATTAAAGCAAGAATGATGAGGAAGGAAACTGTAAAAAAAAAACATAAGGGAGGGAACATGAATCTGAAAGAGGACTGTCTGCAATGAAGTTTCTAAAAAGTACACATTTATATAACGTATTACTGCGTAGAAAAAGAGGAAGTAGGAGAGAGAGGTGGAAAGACTTTAGGACAGACATTTGTAAAAAGGTCCACAGTAAAAAGTGAAAAGAGATTAAACTGGCTCAGATATCATCGATTAAATCTCACACGCGAGTATTGATCTGTCAAAGAAAGACACACACACACACACACACACACACACACACACACACACACACACACACACACACACACACACACACACACACACACACACACACACACACACACACACACACACAAGATAATTGTGTGTTTGTGTGAGACACTGTAACACTATACACACATCAGACTGCTGCACTCAGATGGAGGGAAAGCAATAAGCAGTATTTTTTTCCACTGTTCATTGTTTCATTTTTGCAAACTGTTATTCCTGCATTTCTTTGTGCCACTTGCACATTTTTTGCTGATTATGTCTAAGGCATATTTTATGTTGCACGGTTGGAGAAGTAATGGGACAGTTTTTCATTGCCAATAATCACACTGTAGCTATTTTGCATATGACGATAAAACCTTTGTAGAATCCCTTCACAATAATGAAACTGACTGTTAGGTGTTTCTAACATTGTGATAATGAAGCTGGATTGGACTAATTTTCTAACAGGATTTTTTAAAACATGTTATTTAGGTCACTGTAAATGTCCACATTACTTTGTTTACTATAAACAAAACCTACCTAACCTATTATAGCTAAACACACTGTATATAACACTGAAGCCCCGCCCCTCCTCTTACCATTCTGTGGAGGACTGTGGCGTTGATCTCATCTCCGATGGCCCTCAGCTGGTGGGCCACCCTCCTGATGACCTGCACCTGCGCTGCCTCTCCTCCGGGGGCTCTGTGACGAGGGGAAGCCCAGGAGAGCTGCTCGTTCTGTGGCAGCAGGTCTGGAAGAGGCCCCTGCCTGCTGGAGGTCTCCTGGGGCTCCTCTCTGAGCGAGTCTGCAGAAGAAAAATACTAAATTAATTCAGAAAATAACATGCAATTCTCCATAATTGTTTAATAATTTGAAATCGTTTTTCCATATGCTCTTACTCTTCGTCTCTCTTTTGATAAAAACAGTTAAAGTTTGAAAAGACACAAGTGCTTTATTGCCACAGCCTCTGGTTATGCCTAATTGATTGTCAACAAGTATCCACACATTAACCGCCTCCTTAGCAATAATAGAGACACTTAACAACAGAGACTTAACATACAAGAACACACACAACTTCATACACACACTTCCCAGAAAACTTCACTTCCAGGCCATTACCGATCAGTATGAATGTTTACAATGAATATGAAGAGATGAGTAAGGTTCAAACATTATGTTCACCATTTGCATACAATCAAATAAGTTACTCTCAAAGTGTAGCATACTTGATAGAAAATAGAAGAGGGAGTTTTTAAACAACATTCAACATAAAACATTTTTTTTTTTTATTCCAGTTGGGTTTTTCAGTTACATTAGTTAGATTTGTGGCAACACATATTTGCTAAGGAGCCTGATGGGTCTGTTTCCTCTTCATGGAACTTGGAAGAGTAATCTCTTAATCTGCTTAATAAGTCTGGTATGGAGAGGTGTGTGTGTGTGTGTGTGTGTGTGTGTGTGTGTGTGTGTGTGTGTGTGTGTGTGTGTGTGTGTGTGTGTGTGTGTTTACAGATCTAGTGTTGTTGTTCCTACAGATACCTGTCCCTTCTGTCTGGTTGCTTTAGCGTGAAAAAAAGGCCTAAAGCTATTAGAGGTTTTAGGATTTTATGAAAAAAAAGGAAATTGTCTCAAATCTTTAATGGTAACCTACTTGATCATTTTTTTAATTTTTCATGCTTAATGTTCTGCTTTATTCAAATAAATCTTATTTTGTGTAAGCATTATATACAATGAATTAATTATTTCTCTTTTTCTGTATCTTATCAATTCTTTTAACATATTTCACATAACACATTTACAAAATTAGTTGCTAAATTAAATTAGTTATTTTTTTATGTTCTTGTTATGTTTCTTGCTTATTTGAATATCCATCCAACATATGAAAAGGATTTATCATACTACATGAAACATCCTTGTCTCTGGCAGCGTGTCGTTTTTAATAGACGATTAGATAACCTTTGTACACTTGTTTCTGACTTTGAAAACAGCTTTCCTGTGAATGGACCCCTGTCTCTGTCATGGAGCAGAGGGTCTCCATCAACCACAACTCTTTGTTGCCACAGAAACAGGCACCCCTGGCAACCACAGCATCTACTTTGCTAGGAGGATTACAACTGATCCTTAAAAGAGGCAGGTGACTAGAGAGAGGGAGAGATGGAGGCGGAGAGGGAGGAAAGAGAGAGCGGAGGAAAAATAACAAACGGGAAACACTGGCTTGTTGCCAAGGTAACTTGAAGACAGCACTCTTGGAGACGTCTCTATGAGATTGGCCGGCAGTGGGGGTCTGAGCTGGATAGGCTGGAGGGAGGTAAGGGGGTGGGGCTGTTGGTGAACCGGTCTGTTTGATAGGCTGACAGAGTGACAAGGTGACAGAGATCCTGAGAGCAGATAAATATGGGATGTAGGAGACTGGGGGGGACTCGGTTGCCGGGTGAAGGGGTGGCATTACAAATAAAAACAGACTAAAGCAGATAAAAGCTTACGGCTGAGAGATGTTGTCATTAAATAACAAACCGACAAATCCTCTGACTAACCAAACAAATAATAAATACATTAACAAACAATTCCTTTTTTTATTCAGCTAATTAATTTAGCTGATGCTTAGATCCAAAGTCTCTTACCATAAGTGCCGTCAACTATGATGATATAGAACAGCAAGAATCCTGCAAGGACATTAGTTTCCAAACCTTTTAAGCGCTATAACCATTTTAAAATATATATTTTAAATTGTATTTTATTAAGTACAATTTTGAGCTACTTGAGTTGTTCCATTTTTTGCTACCTTCTACTTCTACTCCACTACAATTCAGAGCTAAATTGTGTACTTTTACTCCAATACATTATTTTAATCCCTTTAGTTACTTCACAGATCTGGATGAATGATGTGAAATATAACCAAGTGTTAAATCAGACTTTAGTTCCACCTGGAGTAAAGTCACAAGCTACCCTGCAGTATACAAAGTCATTCAAACTAGCTGCACCTTTACCAGCTTTGAGAATACTTTCATGATCAATCATTATAAAACATATCATATATATTATTCTGAAATGGACCAATCTGCACAATCACTACTTTTACTGTCGCTACTTTAACTATATTTTGATGCCAACACTTTTCTACGTTTAATTGAGGAACATTTTGAATACAGGACTTCTAGTTGCAACAGAGTATTCCTTCACTATGGTACTTCTACTTTTACTCAAGTACAAGATCTGAGTACCTTTCCCACTTCTGTGCACACAATACAACAAATTCACTTACAAATCGACAAAAAACGTACATCATGACTGTTTACCAACCGGACAGATGATCTGGATAAAGTGACATTGATTTTTTTATTTTAATTATTGAGTGCCTGATTAGTGAATAACTGAAAGTGTCTGACTAATTAATTCACTAGGTTGCTGAGTATCTAACTGATGAATTCCCTATTTACTGACTGGATAACAAAGTGTCTCCCTCATTAAATGACTAACTGTTTGATTCGTAGCCTGACTGATAAGCCTGATTAACTAACTGTAACTCTGACAATTTAAACTAAGCTTAAAACCTGACTGAGAGGCCAATAGAAGCTCTTGTGGGCAGACTACAGACTGACTGTGTGCTGCCAGGCTGATCTCAGAGCAGCAGGAAATGCAGCACATTGGTTCCTTCAGACTGCACAGGACATGTCTGAACATGCCCAGCATGCACAGCTGACCTGCAGCTGAGAGAGGAAGGGGGTGGGGCAATGTATCTGTTTACCCCTCTATCTGTCACAACACAAAGACACAGTGTCTAATGTTAACCTGTGTTTCCTGTATCCTGTGAATGCCAACACCTGATTTTCACCTGAGTTTTTAAAATGTGAAAAATAATGTACTATAAAAGGTCAAATGTGTTTTCTGTGTTACCGCCCACCATTGTCAGAGTAAGTTCCCCTCTTCTCACCCCTCGTGAACTCCAGACAGACAGACATTGTCTCATGAACAAACCAGTAAGAGCTCCTGAGGCAGCAACAGCAGCTCAGTGGACTGTTGGCTACAAGGCCAAAAACGTCACATGTTTATTCCTGCGACAGTGGGTAACACACATCCTCTTCATCCCTCCACCTGTCCCCCATCAACACTGCCCAAACAGCCTCCTGTCATGGAGACACAGCACAGACTGAACTGATACTCTCCTGCCAGCTGACAACTTCTGTGTATATTGAGGGAGGAGGTCGGGAAGGCAAGCTATGCTGTGAGGAGAGCTGAGTCGTGACTCTTGGTCAGAACCTGCATCCACTCTGATCTAATGCTTATCCTGCAGCAGTAATTGGCTGTGAATCAATGTTTTAACTTAGTCACATTCCACCACAGGGCATCAGTAAGTAGTTAAACAGGTCACACACAGACTACACCATCATGGTTAAACAAACATATTATTATATTTTTAATGGGAAAGCTTCTCATTTTGTTTTGTCTGTGACATCAATGAAGCCAATGCAACATTATTATTTTCACAGCTAGTGCTCAATATGTAATATAATATATATTACATATATATAATAAGCTTTGGTGAAAATACTTTTTTTTTAAGCAGATGTTGAAAATGACATATTTTTAAGTATCTGCCATTAATAACATAAATATATGCATGTGTATGTATTGTCCCATTTCTCATTGTTGTTATGGGTGGTTTGCTTCTTCTCCCTGAATGTAGTCCCACAATAAAAAATACAGATCTGTTTCCACCTTCAGTCGAGGCCAAACATATCTGTGTGTTTGTGAGTTTCTCTCCGAGGTAACTGTTCTAAATCATAAATGATGTGCCTGGTGTTACAAGCACAGGGAGAGCTAACCCACATGGTTTTAACAACACCATGCTGCAACTCACATCCTATTACTAAAGAGATATAACACTTTGTATCTCCCAAATAACCTAAACCACGCTGGATATCTTTGATTAAATGTGAATAATAATAATACATTACATTTATAAAGCGCTTTTCCTGGTGCTCAAAGCGCTTAATAGGACTGTCTTACCTGACTGCTCTCCTGAGAAGACACTGGCCCTCTCTTCCCTCCGATGGCAGAGAGGTGAGGGAGGCGTTGATGATGACGATGGCCAAGGTAACTGCTGGTGAGTCTGGGGCTCGTCCTGGCCCTCTGGGTGGGGGTAAGGCACCGGGTATGACATATAGAGGGCCTGCAAAGGGTGCAGGTGGTGGTGGTTCTGGTGGAGGTGTAAGGCCCCGGGGCCAGTCACAGAGCCGGTGGTGATGGTGGTGGTGGTGAGCATGCCGGGCCAGTTGTAGAAGGGGCGGGGCAGCTCCATCCGGCAGGAGCTGTGGCGAGGCAGGGGGCCGTCTCCTGGTTCTCCTCCTGTCTCCCCGGCGCTCTCCATGGTCTCTGCACGGGCCATCTCAGTAGCCTAAATCACACAGACATGCACATACGTCAAACAAAGCAAGACAACATGTACTGAAGCATCAAATCAAAATGTATAAACATAGTCATCTAAAAAACAACAAATTGAATTTAAACAAACACAAAAAACAGTGGCCCTGAGAAATCAATGTACAAAGAATTAAGAAAACATGTGCAAGTCTTGTTCGTGACCCCTCAGGATATATACTGTCTATCTGATAAGACAAGATATACTTTATTGATCCAAATTAAAGTATATATTATACGATCAATAAAAAAAACATTGAATTTGATTTAATATATAATAGGATAACATATCGCATACAAAAAGCACCAGAAAAGCACACATACACACATCTAGTCTTTCTCCACAAGTTTGACCCAGCAACCTACATTATAAATGATCGTACCGGCCGCTAGGGCACGAGACTTGTTTATAAACAGATCTGATCCGCGCCGATCGAGCACGAGGAAGCGCGGACGCGTACACATCATAGGTACACACAATCTCACAGAAAGGCGAGCCACGCGGAGATTTCTCTCCGCTTTGTCAATAAACTGATGATAGGAAGGATAATATCGAGAAAAAAGTGAGCATAAATCCTCCAGTGACATTAATGTAAATGTGCCATTTAAAATCCCGTTTATTTAGGGTTATTTAAAAAACGCAAGGAAATAAATCGGAAAATGCGTAAAGATGTCGAATTACAGAACCACGGGGCACCATGCTTTAAGTTTGAATACATTCAATCATAAATGCATTATTCGTTTGATAAATTAACCAGTTTCTGACAGTTTTCTGGTTCTGGGGCTAAACACATTTATTTAAATAGCCTATCAATATCGTTAACTTTAACTCTGATTTAGGATTTTTTTTCCCCATTAACGTTTCTGAATGGGACTTGTCCGGACATGTCTCAAATCATAAATATAACGCGAAAGGCTCGAAGGCGCAGGGGTCAATACTTTACATCTGTTGTAAAAAAGAGAGTAAATGTTGACAAAGTAATTTCAAAGTAGATATGTACCGATAAGTTCAATCACACTTTTTTCTGACTGCTCGACAGATGATGCAACTTTAAGTTACATTACATGTCACATAGACGCTTTTATCCAAAGCGACTTACATACATTCAGTACTGTGGACAATCCCCACAGGAGCAATTTGGGGTGAAGTGTCTTGCCCAAGTTGTCAAAAACCTTTCCAACTTCTGCAGCAGTAAATAAAGATGAAGCGCTTACTGGCTGTTTATGACGCTCCGTGGTGAGGCGGTGTGCAGGGCAGAGAGCAGCCGTAACAGGTGCACATCAGACGGGATACACTGTTCCAGAACAACAGGCGAAGTGTCACAAGATGTTAAAGGTCCACTCGGGAGGAATCGTGTCATTCCATGTCAAAGTTCTTCCGTTGATTGTCACGCTTTATAATCAGCTGGTTGTTGTCTGTTAGATTAACCCATCAGAACATATACCGACGAGATGTACCGAATAACGGAGGAGACTGGTCTCTGTGCTCTTCTCTGAAGATCTGTCCGGTCTGAGCGCTCTCCTGCTGCCTCAGCCTCACTATCTTTGTCAACACAGAAGATATACACTGGACTACCGGTTTGGACTTTCAGAATAAAACACACCACAACATTTATTGACCTCGTAAATAGAGTTTTTTCGAGGCGAGGAAGGATTCTTGCCTCGCTTCTGAAGGAAGTGACTCGGAAGACATGTCCTACCAAGGAAGCGTCCTCGACATTGAGAAACACCCAGTACCTATGTCGTGTTGTTCACTTTTGCACATTCTTGCACAAAACAGCGGAGTTCTTTTATTCAAATCGGATACATTGTGCATATATTTCTTATATTTCTTGACTTTTTTCAGGCCTTGCTATCCTTTTCGTTTCCTTTAATATGTGTATTGTTATGATCCAAAATACTGACATACAATGTCCAAACATGCTAATTCTCTATTTCAATTTATTTCTGGACCGTACACCGAATAAATACAGTTATATATTTTAGTTCACTCCTGCTTTTATTTTGATGGCCAGTCCTTTCTGGTCTAGACTACTTCCTCCTCCTCCTCCTCCTCCTCCCTGACAAGTGCTGCCATGCTCCTGACAGGATGCTGCTGTCTCACTTTCTCTCTTTCTTCTTCTTTTGTTTTTTGTAACAGACTGCGACTTTCTGCAGCAATATAAATACATAATAATAATAATACTTTCTTACATATGTTATAGTTGTAATTGCATTCACATGCCACTTAGTCCTAGAGATTTAACATTTGACCCCCCTCACATCCTGTGGTTTTCCTCCACCTCCCTCCTCCCACTTCTTATCTCTCATCTCAGGACTCAAGACATTTCCTCATCATGTGACAACTCCTTGCTCAGAACACACACACACACACACACACACACACACACACACACACACACACACACACACACACACACACACACACACACACACACACACACACACACACACACTCACTCCTCCTCCTCACCCCAGCTGGCTTCCCTTCATTTCCTGCATAGTTTGACATCTGTAAAGTAAAACAATGTGATCTTAGAGCTGAGTCAGCCCTTTGTGTGCAGTAGATCTGTTTATTATAACACATGTGTTGCAAGTGTCAACACTATTATGACCTATCATTTCTGACAGTTGGGATTTAGTTTAGGCTAGACAACATGTCCTCTTTATGTTTTAGTCCAGTGGTTTTTATTATTATTAGCCTTTTAACAAAGCACTGGGATGAAAACCAACTTAGATTTTCTGCAAAATTAACCATTTCCATGATTAAAGTTACTTTGAGTATTTTAATGCACCCCAAAAAGGTGATGTGTAACAACAAGTGTGTCAGTTTGACTTCAATAATGAAGCCAAGGAAACATTCTCATGTTTTGTTGGTGCTCAATGTAAAATCCGCTTTGGTGAACATTTGTTTTGTTATGAAGATTTTGATGGTGATATTAAGCTACATCTGCCCATAATAATATATATTTATGTACACATTTGTATTGTTCTTATGGGTGACTTTGCTACTTTTCACTGAATGCAGTTAAACACTAAAAATAATTCGAAAATACAGACCTGTTCCCACCTCAGACCAAACAGGTGTGTGTGTTTGTCCATGTCTTTGAAATGTAAACAGAATCTTTGCACTTTAAGCTTCAATAGAAATCCTTTTGATGGCATTTGGGATAGATTTACTAAACCCAAACATAAAAAATTATAATCCCGGATTAGTGAATATTTTTTGTAAACACTGGAATCCATTTATGACAAATTGCTTAATCCAAATATGCAGTGAGCCAATGACACATATGACATAATTAATAAATACTTCCCACACACATTTTAAATAAAAAGTGCTCAACACATTTTTGAAAAATGTCTGGTGTTCATTGATTTATTTGACTTGTTTTAATCTCACTTTGACACATAGCATATTAATATTCAGGGTGTGTGCTGCAGCACTTATGATAGTCATCTTTAATGAGAAGAACCTGCATTAATGTTGTCATTACAGCAGGCTAATTGTTCCAGCTTTTACACTTTGTAGTCTGCAAACCGTGCATAGCATTAGCATGAGAAATGACTTCAGACACCCCTGCTGTGGTGACCCCCGACCCTCAGATCATTGTCCCAGCTGCAGGGCATGGAAATGGCAGCTTGTCTGAAGAACGCCCCCATTCTTCCTCCAGCAGCAGATTGGTGCACACCCTCTTGTTTGGTAAAGGGTGGGGGCTGAGTCTCCTCTCAGGTACATGCCCGGGCAACACCCTCTGCCAGCCACACTGCCTGACACGTGGTCCACAGTTAGCTGGTAGAGATGGGATAATGAATGCTAATGCGAGTCAACATTGTAACATCAGTGATCCTGTTAGGCTGCCTTTGTTATATCGTTGCTGATTTCCTTTTATCGTGAAAACCCTTGTTTTGTCAAAATGTTCTTAGGTCCAGAAGTGTAATTTTAATGAAGTCAGTAGTTTTTACTAATGTCTTAACCTGTTTAGCCCTGAGCCTGTTTTTCAGGTCTCAGGCTCGAAAATGACATTCCCAGAACAAATGACCATATCTTCCTTCT